GAGGCTCGTGCGTGTGATCGTCGATATCGTCGATATCGTGGAGGAGCGCGTAACGACGAGGGATCGATACGCGGCGAAACTACGTGGTCCGCTTCTGTCTAACCATTCTAAAGCTAATCAAACGAAGCAACCAAGGTACACTATGCTACGACTCGTCTAAGTTTGCTCGCTAAGCGTTTCCTCCGCTGTCGAACTTTATTTCTAGCGATCGCGACAAACACGAGCTACGTTCTAATCGTAGCGCGCGAAAATATTCGAACGCGTGGATAATTCTTTCGGAATATACGCGAAATTGTCCAACTTGGTGGAAATTATGCTCGCCGGTATCGCGACGAAACAGCGTGGCGATTCTCTCGTTGAAATTCGAAAGCGATCGTCCTTCGTCTTCCTTTCATTTCGATGGAAAAGATAGAGACGCGACTCGAGGCAATTCTCGCGACGCGTATATTTTTGCCTACGTATTTTCGTAAAACGTTCGGCAACGAGCGTTCGAATATCTCGGCGAGCCTTGCGTAGCTAAACGAAGAGAATGTGGAATCGATCTGTGTTCGAGCGACGATTATACGTACAGTCGATACGATGAAATTCCGATCGAGGACGGGACGAAAAAAATTCTGCGAGTAGACCGGACAGAGAAGTGCCGTGATGCTTCGTTTCGAGGCAATTGCGGAAATCGACGAGACAAAAGGATAACGCGTTGTTCGACTCTCTGCTTTTTCTACGATTCTGTCTGGAATCTCGAGCTCGAGACCGATGCTTGCTCGAAAAGAGTGGCGGAACACCGAGTCCTTTCCTTCTTTCCCTTTCCTTTCTCTCGTGTTAATATAGCGGCACACCACTGCAACGCTCAGCCGGCACAAGCATGCAATTTTCAAACAATCCTCTACTATCGGTTTTAACCACGCAGCCTGTAAACGTGAGTCTCTCAGTGTCGTGTCGTGTCGTATCGTATCGTATCGTACCGTGTCGTACCGCGTCGTATCGTGTCGGTGTATCGAAACACGCGTACGATCTGGACCAACCATCGTCGTCGGTAACATCGCCGGTATACATCGGATCGATAGATATCCTTCGATCACGCGGTCTTTCGTTTCACCACTCGATTCACCCGTTTGCGCGCGATATTCTTCCGCGGCGTTTTGTCATCGCGTCCGACAACGGTTGTCCGTTTCGTATCCGCGTGTCTTTGATATTTAGTCTTCCAGCTACGGAGTCTCGAACGACCAAGTAAAGGCAAAAATAAAAAAAAAAAAGAAGACAAGGGAAGAAAGAGGAAGAGAAACAGAGACAAAGACAGAAGTAGAAGAAAGAAAGAGAGGAAAAGAGAGACAAAGAAAGTCGTAGGTGTCCAGACAAAGGAGAAATAAACGAAGATACGAAAGCCAAAGTCGAAAGACCAAAGACCATATAATAGATCTTGCGAAAAGCCGCTTTCTGTAAAATTGTTTCCTCCGAAAAGTGGTGACGTACACGCATACACATATATAGATAGTATGTAGATGTATGTGCGCGACAGCGAACTTCCATCCCGTCTCTATCTACGTTCTTTTTTCTTTTTTCTTGTCTTTTTTCTTTTTCAGCTACCATCTCATCTCCCCCCGGTCACTCGTCTATTACGTGAATCGTTCGATACGTAAGTATACGTTATAGTACGTATAGATATATTTGTTGCTCGAAACGTAACAAAAGGACAAGAAAATGAAAAGAATCGGCCGCTTCCCGGCCAGCTGTCGATTACGATCGTCATTCCTATGCTAGCACGATAGTTTAGTAGAAACAGTGTTCCATCAACGATCTCGCGAGAAACGATCCGCTATCGATCGTCAGCAACGATCGCGACAACTCTCGCATCATTCGGCTGATTCGCGTACGCAAAGAAAAATAAAGCCTCGCCGCGCGCTTCGCGTTTTCTATTATTTGCAACGAGTTGCCACATCGTTGTCCCACGAACGACGCGTAAACACAGTGGACGATCGTTCGTAAAACTACGACAAACGATTTTACTTTCCTGTTAAAGTGATCGCGATACAAGCCAACGGTCTTTCACGCAACGGTAACAGTCTTTTAAGGACAAAGAAAGTGCGACTGTTTACGCGGCAACGTTCGTATCGATGGTAAACGCTCGTGGAAAGATCGCGAATGTAAATGAACGAGTTGGACGCGTTCGCGTAAAAGCGATCATCTCGCTTGAAACGAAATTCGTTTACAAAGAGCGTAAAAGTGTCGCGAACAGGGGCAGTCGTTCGATCGTTAGGCTACACGTAATATCGATGGAAAGAAAGAAAAACGTTCGAGGGAAAGAAGAAATCAGGGTAATCCCAGTGAGAGGTTTCGGGGAGAGAGTGTCGAGACAAGAAACCCAATGAACAAGTTACACGCAAAACAGTTCGTTTCACAGGGAAGGTACCCAGAGGTGCATCTGTCGGAAAAAACAACGTTTGCTTCGTGCCCGCGCCTCTCGACGATTATTTCTCCCAGTCTTTCTTCTCCGTTCATTCTTTTCTCTTTGTTCTATCTATTTTCTTTGACTCGAAACGACGATACGCGATGCACAGAAAACGGAGAAAGTGGCGAATAATCGTCGAAGAAGGCTGTCGGGATGTCGAGCAAAGGCGTACCGAGGTGGTAGACGAATTGGTAGTAGTGAGTTTGGTGATGGTGAATTATCTCGGCGTTGCATCAAACGTATGTGAAGTAATGGATGAACGAGAATGACGATAATATATGCATATAATATCGGATCGTAAGAGAGGGCTGAGGGGTCAATGAGAGGGGGGTATCGAAGGTTTTGGTTGTATATTATGCCACTCTAGTGTACTACGAGAGGTTGGAAGGAATGTCCCAGGACCGTTTAGTGTGCGGGGCCTGGCAATCCTACCTTGAACAGTTGTACGCCAATGACGGCGAACACGAACTGCAGGAGGCTGGTGACGAGGACTATGTTTCCGATAGTCTTTACCGCTACGATGACGCACTGTACTACGTGCTGGGTTCAACATTAATTATAATGTAGATTCGCTCCTTTACAAATGAGATTACGTGTGCCGACTAATTTATTACGTCGGATGTCACTCGTTTTTTTTTTTTTAATCAGTCTTTTTTTTACTTCTTACTTTGTTTTTTTTTCTCAGAATCGTTTACGTTTCTTTTTCTTTTTTTCTTTTCTTTTTTCTTTTTTTTGATACTACTCTCCGAATCGCAATAGGAAACTATGGACGTAGAAGAATGGAAACAAGATAAATTACACATGGACGCGAAGTAAGTTATATCGGTTCGTTGATCGAATTTATGAATTCGTTGGAAAGAGTTTCCCTTGCAATACGGAAGATTCGAAATGTTTTACCAAAGTATCGGTAAAAGTATCGACTTTGAAAAGCAATCGCGAACAGTTTGATACCGTGCAGACTCGATGGATCAGCTTTGCTAGCTTCGAAAGAACAATTGCTTGAATTTTCACGTAAATCGAATCTAAGATCGCAACTGAAAGCTACTTTGGTATCAAACGTTATTCGTACGTCTACTTCGGGGCATGTGCTATATCATCCGGGACCGATTTGGCAAGTTCGCTAATTGTTCGTGGCTAACGAGCGAAGAAAGATACCTTTAATCCCTTGGCACGATTGATGGCGCGTAGAGGTCTCAACACGCGTAATACACGCAGTACTTTCACCACTGAAAACGCGCCGGAACTGAAACAGAAATGGTGAAATAAACGTCTGGTTTTACAGGCTGTCGCAGAAAGTCGATGGTGAAAAGTGGCGGTCAAACTTCAGGAGCAGACGGTAGTATCGATCGAAACGATTAAAAGAATTCTTTGGATCTAACGTGAAAAACGTACTCGAAACGTTAGGAACGGATATTACGTTTTTCTTCAGAAATTCGTTTCTTCAACGCCAAGTCGATGAAGATAAACGCGACGTAAGAGCAAAGCGCGCTCGTGAAATTTGCCGCAGAAAGCTTTTTGAAACGTCGAAAAGTAAACGTTATTTTACGGAGAAGGAAACGTCGTATAATTCTTACCTGAAAGACATAGAGATGAGAGAAGAGCACACGACCAAAAGGTCGAGCAAATTGAACGCCGACCGGCAGAATGCACCGTCGTGTATAATAAAACCGAACGAGATCATCTTTAAACAGATCTCGATCGTAAATACCGTGGTGAAAAAATAGTCAAAATTCAGTAAAATCTACAACCACGAACAGCATGGTTACGGTGGAATTTAAACGAATATTCGTCGGTCGTCTTACCTGATTTCTATAAGAGGACGCGCGTAAAGGATCTTCGGCCGCTAACATGGCCGAAGATATCATGATACATACGAGGATCATGTTGCTGAAGTAGCTGTGGTTAGACAGCCAGTGGCAAAACACTCGAAATCTGAAACACGAACGACGGAAGTCGTTGGAATAGAAAAGTATCGCGACCAACTACGATTTTTGTATACAGGGTGGTTGGTAACTGGTGGTACAAGCGGAAAGGGGGTGATTCTACGCGAAAAAAGAAGTCGAAAATATAGAGTAAAAATGTTTCGTTCGAGGCTTTGTTTTCGAGAAAATCGACTTTGAATTTTCGCTCGGTACGCGCGC